GTCAACTTTCCTGCTCCTCTGATGCTGCCTGGCCTGCTGTGTTCCTCCAGCTGTACACTGTGTTATCATTGAAAAGTCTGCCTGCCCTCTGACCCTAGATGGGAAGTTGGTTTCAGAGGATGGACGAGTTACTGACCAACCCCTGGCAAGTGATCTACCATGAAACCTCCCAAAACAGCCATCCACCCAAACCTGTTGGTGAAATGCCATCAAACTGTTAAGTCTGACATCTTCATTTCAAAAGCTGGCAAGGACATTATCTCATCACTGTTTGCAGAAGCTTGCTGTACATGGTTGAGCTGTTTCTATGCTATAACAATGACTGCACACCATTGATGGTAAATCGCTTTGGGATGTCCTGTTGGATGTGAAAGGTGCTTTATCAGTTAAATCCTTTCACAGTTTCAGTTTCTCATTGATAGCTAGGGTTCCTGGATTGAGGTGAGGAATTAACTAGAGGTAGTCTCTGGGTGTTTGTGTGGAAAATCCTAGGGGGTCACTCACACATTGGTGAGTGCTAGTCCCAGCCCCTGACCCTGAGTTGATATGGGGATCCAATTTGTGGTTAAGTGTCCAATGAGCCACAGCTGTTTCTGGTTAAGAACCTGTGAAGCATGTTGGGACACATGAAAGGCACTATATAAATGTAGGTTGTTGGCTATGGGAAAGCACGGACCCCCTCATCCTCAGACACCAGCCACCTTGACCATGTATAGTCACCATCAACTCATAATTAGACCAGCTTTGGGCTCAGGTCTACTGAAGCCAACAGACCATTCCAGGGACCAATTTTGTTTCCTGAATTCCTCAAATCTAAATTTTTCAAATCATTTATCACAACGTGCAGTCTGGAATTATCTTCTTTGTTTGTCTCTGTGCTCTTCATATTCAACATGTTCATTCCATACATTGTACAATGGATCAAGTGCATGGGTACTGTTGGCCTGAGGATTGGGACAGTTTCAGCGAGCACTGTGGATTTCAGAAGCTTAGGTTTGGGACAATCTGTTTGGAAAAAAAAAACATTCCATAAAATGTTCACATGGCAGTGTAAGTTCCAAAAGAGATTGTCCTCTCAGAACGGGATGCATAACCTTTTGGTTTCAGTAACTGAACTTTATGGATTACTGGTTTGTTGTGTCTTGACTGACTTTCTGATAACACAGCAGCAGAATGTAGAACAGTACAGCACAAGGAACCATGTCTATAGGTGTGAGGCTGGAAAAGGCAGGAGGTCAGACAGCATCAGCCCAAAACATTGACTTTTCTGCTCCTCTGATGCTGTCTGGCCTGCTGTGTTTTTCCAGCCTCACACCCATAGACTCTGTCTTCCAGCATCTGAAGTCTTTATCGTTTCCAGTACAGGAACAGGCCTTTCAGCCCACCATATCTGTGCCGACCAGGATGCCATTCTAAAGTAATTCCACTTATCTGCACATAGTCCATATCCCTCAATTCCCCGCCTGACCATGTGTCTGTTTAAATGTCTCTTAAATGTTGCTATCATATCTACTTCTACCACCTCCCCTGGTAATGCATTCCAGGCACCTACCACTCTCTATGTAAAAAAAAATCTTGCCACGCACAACTCCTTTAAACTTTCCCCCTTCTCAACTTAAACCCTGGTGTTTGACATTACTATCCTGGGAAATAGGATCTGTTAACCATCCATGCCTTTCATAATTTTATACACTTCTATCAGGTTGCATCTCAGCCTCTGACAATCTAGCGTTACACTACATTTAAAAAGTTGGCCAGTGGGTGGATGCAGCAAGACTGGGAGATAAGCCCATCACACACTGTCACTCTTGAAGCTAACCTTCAGAGGAGAGCTGCATTGCTAATGACACTCACACCCCATCTGTGTGAAATAACTTTTTTAAAGAACTTGTGAGCAATTTCAAGAAAACTTCAGGAACTGCCATCGGGCTGACTTGTAACCCATGCTCAGGTTTATCTGTAAACCTCTGGCCCTCTGTGATGTGTATGAAGCAGCTGGGATGGGACAGTTCCCAGCCAGTTGTCCACCCTTTAGAAACTGCCTGCTTAAGGCTGCCCTGGTGATGAGAGACCCGAGACTTAAACTGCACAAGTCAAAATGAACAGTGCCCATAAGGCCATTGTGGAGGTTAATGTATTGGATTTCACTGTCAGGACATTGACATAGAACATAGAACATTACAGCGCAGTACAGGCCCTTCGGCCTTCGATGTTGCGCCGACCTGTGAAACCAATCTGAAGCCCATCTAACCTAAACTATTCCATTATCATCCATATGTTTATCCAATGACCATTTAAATGCCCTTAAAGTTGGCGAGTCTACTATTTTTGCAGGCAGGGCATTCCACGCCCTTACTACTCTCTGAGTAAAATGTAAAATCCATTCTCTTTACTGGACTTCCATGGAATTACATCTGGAATGCTATGTCCAGTTTGGTCCCTTCACATGTTGGTCATTGTTCACTGTGCAGGAGGGAGAGTTAGGCTGAGAGTCACAGAGTGATGAGAGAGAAAGAAAAAAACATGGATGAGAAGAGAGAGAATCAGATACAGATAGGGAGAGAAAGTGAGAGATAGAGACACACGACAAGAAAAGGGATAGCGTTAGAGTGAGGCTGAGACTGTAAAGTTATAGATAATGAAAGATGGAGAGAGATCAAGCAACAGAGAATAAGATGCTTGGAGTAGTAGGAGAGAGAGAAAGAAGACAAATAGAGAGATAGAACATAGAACATAGAACAGTATGGCACAGTACAGGCCCTTTGGCCCACGATGTTGTGCCGAACTTTTATCCTAAACCTAAGGTCTATCTAACCTCCACCCCTACCTTATACTATCATCCATATGCCTATCTAATAGCCGCTTAAATGCCCCTAATGAGACCGACTCCACTACCCTCTCCGGCAATGCATTCCACACCCCGACCACTCTCTGAGTAAAGAACCTACCTCTGACATCTCCCCTGTATCTACCTCCACTGTTAAAACTATGCCCCCTCGTAATAGCTACCTCCACCCTAGGAAAAAGTAAGATAGTGATTGGAATGAAAGATATAGGAAGAGAAACTGGGATGTAGAAAGGCTGGGACTGAAAATGGTACAGCAAAGAGCAAAAGATGAAGAGACAGATTCCAATCCAATCCAGTGACACTGTTCTGCAATATGGTGCATGATCTTGCATATCCTGGAAGCTACATATATTCAACCTGGGGCCCTGTTCCTTGCAAACAGAAAGAACATGTATACCCACTGCGCCTTTTTCAACTCAACAAAATAGGTGGCTGCTATTAGCTGGTTCATTTCTCAGGGCAATGCCTTGACAAATCAGAGTTAACCAGCTTGGTTTAAAATGGAAACAAAGCTTGGCTGTTTACTGTCAATCAGCATTAACAGGTGCATTCTCCTTGGCAATGTCTCAACCAATCATCACACTTTTTACATGCAGCATAAACATTGGTTTTCTACCAGTTCAGGGGGTAGCAGGAGATCAGAGGCAGCAGCAGGCAATGAGGGACCCCACCCCGTGTCTATGGCAGTGATGTCGAGAACAAGCAGCTGAGGTCTCGGGAGAGCAAGCTAAGTGGGGCCCTAGCCTCGTGAAGCATTCAAGAAAGACTGTTGAAATTTTAACTTTATTTCTTTATTTTTCTAGTTGATATTAAGAAGGACTTTAATGTTATCTATTATCTTATTTCTTTATTTTTCTACATATGCTGCAACAGTATATAATGCTTAAATTTTAATTTTGTTTCTCTCTGTTGCTGCTTTGTACCTAAGTTTTTCGTACCAAGGTACTTTTGTACCTAAGCTGGTGCCACACATAGCAACATTATACACTTTTCACTATTCTCCTATACTTCTGCACTTGAGTACATGTGACAATAAATTCTAAATCAGAAATCTAAATCTAAATCAAATTGGAATTCAAAATGTGAAATTTTGAAATGTCCTGATGAATACAAAATGAAAGGCTTCAAATTAATGTTTTTTTCACCAATATTTAACTAATTCGGTCTCTCAGGAAGTAAAAGGTGCTGCGAATAAAGGGGATCCGGTAGATACACTATACTTTGATTTTGTGAATATATTTGATAAGGTGTCATGCCAAGGTTATTGTGGGAAATAAAAGTTCATGGTATAGGAGGTAATATATTAGCATGGTTAGAAGATTGGTTAATGAATACGCAACAGGACATAGTGTAAATGTAGAGATAACACAGTGTGGAGCTGGAGAAACACAGCAGGCCAGGCAGCATCAGAGGAGCAGGAAAGTT